AATCAGTCTTCATTACTCTGCACAGAGCGCTACAAAGGAGACAGAACAGAAGGAGAGAGATCCGCCCTCTCATGGCCTCCTTTATATAGACAGCTTCTTAAAAGGTCAATAACCTTGTGCACCCATCCTCAGTCTTAAAGTGGCAATATCCCTGCTGACTCATTCTCATTGCATCAGAATTATCACAACAGCCTTACAACAGCTGGTCAGCTCTTAAATCTTCAATACCTTAACAGTTGAGAGCATTCTTCTTTGTCACTATTTCTAGCATTTCTTTATTATAACTTTATTATCTCCTGCTGGGTCATTTTGTAACCAGTTAATATCCCTCTAATGTCCCAATATCTGAATAACTGAAAACTCCAGAAAACATCACTTGTTAATCAAATTTGGTCAAACCCAAAGTTATTCCACCAAGTCCCCAAATTTTCTATTAGATTATGCTTTTCAGTTTTTATAGTTTCCAATTTACACCTTCCCAATGGTCCAGATTTTAAAGTCTTATTCATCTTTCCTTCTTTTGTCCCTTCAAATCTTTGAAATCCACTTTTCAGTATACAATTCCCATCGAGTTTTAGTGTTCAATTTAATTTGCCTTCTGAATTTTTAAAAAGCTCATTAAATATTTTCCAGCATCCACATTTACTAAGATAAAGTCAAGGTCAAACAATTATCCAGATCAGTAGTCGCCAACCGGTGGTCTGTGGCCCATTGGTGATCCGGAAGAAAATTTTGGTGGTCCGCAGAGAAATGTCATCCCCAGACCACCCCCAAAGCAATTAATCCAGGCTGTACAGGAACACAAGGCTGCGCCACCCACACGGCCCACGGGAACCCTCCCCGCCCACTCACTCCTTACCTGGCAAACGTGCCTGTTAAGTTGCTATTTTTCCTTTTTTCCCCCCGACCATCAGCTGTTCTGCTGATCTATTGCTTTCTAGCTAATTTAAAAGCAGAGCTGAACCTCCCTTAGGACTGAAGCTTCTATTTTTCAGTGCAGACTCAGATAGCCAATTGCAGATAGATAGATCTCTGAATGAATTGGTGATTCTGTGAGCAACTCAATCTGCCTGCCTGCTTTGCCTGATTTGGGGTAAAAGTTGCTCTTTGGTGGGCCTCAGAGAAATCTCACCCCCAGAGCACCCCCCCCCAAAGCAATTAATCCAGGCTGCATAGAAACACAAGGCTGCTCAGCCCACACAGCCCGCAGGAACCCTCCCCGCCCACTCACTCCTTACCCGGCAAACTTGCCTGTTAGATTGCTATTTTTCCTTTTTCTGACCATCCTCTGTTCTGCTGTGCCAGGAGATTTAGATTAGCTAGGAAGCAGGAAATGGTTGGATTTCTTGCTTTCTAGCTAGTCTTTAGATCTTCTGCTCTGCTTTTAAGCACCGCCGAACCTCCCTTAGGACTGAAGGTTCTATTGTTCAGTGCCGACTCATGGCAAGCAAATTTTATGTGACAGGCTGAGCTAGCCGATGGCAGATAGATAAATCACTGAATGATTCTGTGAGCAACTCAGTGTGCCGGCCTGCTTTGCCTGATTTTGGGTAAAAGTTGCTCTTTTTTTATGAAAAAAAAATCAATATTTACATGCACGGTATGTTGTGAGTTGATTTTGTGAGAGTGCTTGCAAGCAAATTTTATGTGACAGACTGAGCTAGCCAATGGCAGATAGATAGATCTCTGAATGAATCTGTGATTCTGTGAGCAACTCAATCTGCTTGACTGCGCCTGATTTTGGGTAAAAGTTGCTCTTTTTTTTTTATAAAAAAATCAATATTTGCATCAATATTTATAATATTTACATACAAGCCATGCCCAGCCAGTCACATGACCACCAAGCCACACCCACAGATTAGGCCATGCCCAAGAACTGTTTGTTAAGAAATTTGAATCCCATCCCTGCCTCTGTGTGTTTCTGTGTGTGTGTGTGTGTGAGTGAATGTATGAGAGAGAGAGGGGCGGGGGGAGAGGGAGAGGGAGAGTGGGAGAGAGAGGGTGAGAGAGAGGGAGAAGAGTTGGTCTGATCCTTGCCAATCCTTCCTCTCTCTCCCTGAATCCTGCAGCATCAAAGTCCATTTCTCAGTTAATTAAGGTGGCTTCACTGTCATTACAGAAACGGTGTTGGCAGTGGACAGACAGGTCCAGAAACAGCTACCTGACGTGGCAACCAGGAGAGCCCAACAACCTTGGGAACAATGAAAACTGCGTTGAACTTTGGAGCCGATCAGGTAAGTCAAAGTGGAGGGAAGGGAGCCGAAGATGCGCTTCCAAGAGTGAGGGAAAAAATAGCACTTCCCTAGGTTCATTACAAAATCAATCACAATCACAACCCTAAAACTGAATAAACAAGGGATCATTAATAGAATAAAAAATATAGAATAAGGATTTTCCTGAATGCTGGTCTGGACTCTGGAGAAGGAAGAACCGTCTCCCCCGGACCTCAAACACCCCCCAACCTCATGCAAGTTGAGATCTTGAGTCTCACCCAGTCCTTGTTAACAGGATGCAAAGCCAACATCACAAACCACATCATATATTTATTAACTCTTGATGTCAGGAGGCCAGGAGGAAGGCAGGCCTTTGCATCAAAATCTCTTTCATTGTTTTTTTTTTTTTTTTTTAATCACAGCAGTTTATGCTGGATGCCAGAGGGCTTGATCCACCAGCAGATATTTTTTTGAAACTAAGGTGGCACATTGTGGCTCCTCTCACATAATGGCCCCAATGGCTATTTATGAAATCTCTGTCACAGGAACACATAGTTGAGGCCAACCCCCTCCGTTTCCCAAAATGACACAGAGCCCACTCCTTCTCTCCCAACTTCCCTTCTTCTTTGCAGGGCAGGAGCCTCCTTCTCCACCAGTTATTTCTCCTTTCTTTTGAAGGAAGAGACCTCAGCTGGTTTAGAGGCAACCACTGGTCTACCCAATTGCCAGTCTCCGTTGCCTTAAGATAGGAAGAAAAAAGCACAACAGTGCACTCACAATGCACTTTCCTAGCTGTGAGGATCTCTGGGGTGTGTTCCCTGTAATCGATCTGAAAGGTTGTTGATAGAACAGCAAAGCTTTGTATTTCTTGAGAACATAGTTACAAGACGGGCAGTTGGCTTGGCTGAGAGTGTTGTGTTGAACATAGTTGAGGAGTCAAGTCTGCAGAATACAGATTAACAGAGTTGGAAGGGATCTTGTAGGTCATCTAGTCCAACCATCAGCCCAAGCAGGAGATCCTACACTATTTCTGCCAGGTGGCAGTCCAGTCTCTTCTTGGAAGCCTCCATTGATCAAGCTCCCACAACTTCTGAAGGCAACTTCTGTTCCATGGGTTGATTGTTCTCACAAGTCTAGGTTGGCACAGAGAGTACAAAGCCCAACAAGGCTTAGCCCAGGTCCAACTGGTACTCCAGGTTCCATGTTGCTGCCCCTTTTAAATGCTTTAATCTTGCATTTCATTCACGGGAACACTCTACATATCAGGGCATTTTAGAGCAAGTCTTATGGTTGTTCAGCTAGTTAAACCTTCCAGATGTTATACTGACCTTGCACTCTGCAGAAATATCTAAATATCATTTTCCCAACATACTTTGCAGTGAAGGAGAGGAGGTGCAGGTGAGGCTACCAGCCTCAGTCCATCCGTGCTACATGCAGAGTTCCATGCTGAGGGTCAGATAGTGCTGGTCAGCAATGATACAAATTTGGCCAGGCTACCACAAGTGAAAACACAACATGCTCACACCCTTCTGTGCAAACTACAATGTTCCCACACCCATCATCCAGGGATGTCCTTAGCACATGGGGGGAAAAGGCTCCATGTAACAGTCAAGACAGTGAAATCAATGCTGGTCTATCCAGTTTTGACCTGCCAAAGAGATGGACTAAAATCTCAGGCCCTTTGCAGAGCCTGGTGGCTGTATCCTGGTTTGTTGGCTCAGTAAGCTATCTTGCTTCAACAATCCGCTGAACCACAAGCCCACTTTAACCAGCGAGGTTCTTCACCCGTGGTGCCTCCAGGTCCCCCTGCAAAGGAGAGAAGGGCCATGAAAATGCTCTCCTAGGGAACCCCTAAAAAATGTTTCCTTTCTCTGCCCAGGTTATAAGAACTGGAACGATGAGAACTGTGCGTCCACACGTGCGTTCCTCTGCAAGTGCAGATTCTAGGGGAAGTTGCTCCTCCCCCTGCTCTGGAGGGACAGAAGTGCCTGGGGAAGCCTGGAGAAGCAAGGAAGCCTCCGCACAACCTCTGCTCTGCGTCCCTTCGCTTAATGGCTGGTTTCTGTAATTTCTTGGGTCTGGTTTTGCTCATCGTGATGGGCGGGAAGGTCAAATAAATTCCGTTTTAGCATGAGTAGCTCCGTTTGTTTTTGGCAGAGCCAGAGGGATTGTTTGATGTCTTGTGCCTAAAGGGCTGGAAGGGGCTTCTCGGACCAGTAATGATCGATGACAAACTGGGAGGACCCATCCCGGAAGGTGGCAATTGCATCAAAAAGGCCGCCGCATTCATCTGCTCCAGGAGCATTAAATTTCCCACAAACTTTGCATGAAGCTTCTTAGAGAGTCTAGTAGAAACCAGGAAATTGGTAGACAACCACACATTGTTCTCTTCAGCCATTGGCGTCCTTTGCTATCGATGGAAACCTGCAGGTCTCTTGTAAGATACAGGGGTACCTTGGTACTCAACTGCTTTGAAACTCATCAAATTTGGTACTCAACACATTTTGACATGAACCTTTCGTCCCAGTACTCCTCATTTATATGGTACTCAATGCACAAGCTAGAACACATCAGTGTCAGTTGCCTTGTGACTCTCTACTTTATCCCTTATGAGGACAAATTCATTTGGTATTCATCATTTTTGATACTCATCGTACCTCCCGGAACCAATTAAGGAGGAGTGTTGATGTACCGCTGCAGTTTAGCTCCATCTAGTTGCTGTTTTACGAGTCTTTGTGCAGCCAGCTGCTCTTGCAAAATAATCCACTGCCCCTGCGACCAAGGCCTTCTGTGACCCTCTTACTCATGTCAAGCCCTTGGGGGCCTGCCATTCAGTGTTTGAAGGGGGGTGGGGTCATGCCAATTTATGGACTGCATCGTATGTGAATTCTGCATGGGATATCAGGGAGGGCCAGTTGGATCTCGCTCTTTGATAATTTTCCACCCATTATTTCTTGTCCTGCTCTCAAGGTGATTTGGAAAATAAATCAACCCTCTCTTCTCTGTGACAGCCCCTCAAATATTGGAAGACTGCTATCATGTCACCCCTTCAAAAGTCTAGTTCCCTCAACCATTCATCTCATCCTTTAGTCTCCAGACCCTTACTCCAGAGGTGGTATTCAGCTGCTTCTGACCAGTTCTGCAGAACTGGTAGCAGAAATTTTGAGAAGTTCGGAGAACCGGCCAATCCCACCTCTGACTGGCCCCACCCACATCTATTCTCTGCCTTCCATTGAGTCCCAGCTGATCGGCTGGGTCTTCCTTGGTTGCCCTGCACAGGGGAACAGAGCTGGAAAACAGGTTAGTTGCTGGGGAGGAATGGGGATTTTGCAGTATCCTTCCCCTGCCACGCCCACCAAGCCACACCCACCAAGCCACGCCCACAGAACTGGTAGTAAAAAAAATTGAATCCCACCACTGCCTTAGTCATCTTTGTTGCTTTTCTCTGCACACGTTCAAGGGTCTCAACATCATTTTAGTATCACGGAGACCGGAACTGGATGTGGTATTTCAACTGTGGCCTCACGAGTGTGATATAAAGTGATGTTAACACTTTATATCACAGGTGATCTTGATTCTACCCTTTTGTGGATGCAGCCTGGGACTAAGTTGGCTTTTTTGGTAGCTGCGGCACATGGCTGTCTCATATTTAAGTGGAATCATAGATTCCGCTCACAGTTGCTACTATATTGAACCAGGTACCATCTATTCTGGACCTGGGCATTTGTGTTTTTCTGCCTAACCCTAAGTTTTCTCACCACTGAGCTGCATTTTGTTGAATATGGCCATTGTTCAAGTCTGTCAAGATCCTTCTGGATTATGAGCCTATCTTCTAAACTGTTGGCTATTCTCCTTAGTTTGGTGTCATCTACAAATTTGATCAGTTCCTCTTCCATCCCCTTGTCAAACTCATTGATGAAGATATTGAAGAGTACTGGCCCTAAGACAGACTATTAGGGTATTCCACTGCATACTTCGCACCATATAGATACAGCTCCATTGAGGACTACACATTGAGTGCGGTTGGTCAGCCAGTTATGAATCCATCTGATGGTGATGGTATCTATCCTACCTTTTTCTATTTTACCAAGAAGAAGGTTGTGGTCTATTTTGTCAAATGCCTTACCAAAGTCCAAGTGTACAATGTCTACAGCATTTCACTGGTCCACTAATTTAGTCACTTTGTCAAAGAATGCAATACAGTTTGTCTGGCATGATTAGTTTTTTGACAAATCCATGTTAGCTTCTAGTAATAGCTTTGCTTGATTCTGGGTGTCCAAAGACGATTTTGATTATCTTTCCCAGGACCTGTCAAAATATTTCTAGATCTTCAGCCTATATTTTAAAGTGTTGATTATCCCCCCACCCCCAGTTTTGTGTCACCTGCAAATTTGATGAGTTCTCCTTCTATCCCCTCATCTAGATCATGATTAGGGAGCTAAAAGCTAAGGCAAATGAAGAATGGTTATAGGAATTGGTGTATGTTCAATCTAATGAAAAGAAGGACTGGGGAGATGTGATGGCAGTGCTCCAATATTTGAGGGGGGGTCAAGCAATTTTCCAAAGCACCAAAAGTCAAGACAAGAAACAATGGATGGAAATTAACGAAGGAGAAAAGCAACCTGGGACTAAGGAGAGATGTCCTGATGGTTAGAGTGCAATAGCTTGCCTTCAGAAGTTGTGGCTACTCCATCACTGGAGGCTTTCAAAGAGAGGCAGGTCAACCATTTGTCTGAAATGGTACAGGGCAGGGATGTCAAACTTGTGTCGTCACAGCGTCATCACATGACGTATCTGGACTTTTTTCCTTTGCTAAACTGGGTGGGGACGGGACTAGCACAAGACGCATCCGGCTTGCGGGCCGCGAGTTTGACACCCCTGGTATAGGGTCCCCTGCTTGAGCAGAAGGTTGGATCAGAAACTTCCAAAGCCCCTTGCAACTCTGTCGTTCTATGTTCTATGTTCTATGTTCTATGTTCTATGTTCTATGTTCTGTGGCTTGGTTTGGTTTGGTTTGGTTTGGTCATTTCACCTCATACAACAAAATCAAACACCATCTTCAGGTGATGGAGAGGGCCACACTTGGTTGATGTGGAGAAATGGCCCAGCCTGTCCAGCCTGCCACATCTGGTGACTCCATCCCTAAGACAGGGAAGAGACTGGTGGGAAACCTGGGGTGCATGCATGTGAGAATCTGGAAAGACGACACTTGCTGCAGCAAACAAAGAGTGTTTGACCACAACTGAGGGGCAAGAAAAAAAAAATTCAAATTATTGGAAAGAAATGCATCAAAACCTTCATAAAATTGTCAACACAGAACTTGAACAAATGTCACAAATATTGTTATTATGAATAACCACAGAAAACATAAAGATATTACAATTTAATGTTGATGGCCAGAGGAATGCATTTGGCACAAGATTGGACAGGTGAATTTGTTCTGATGATAAGAGTATTATTGGGCCTCCAAAATTCAAGAACCGTTTAGACCAACAATAAAGACTAACAAAATTCAAGTAGGAAGGGCTTATACAGGACACGTTACACAACACAGAAAATCCAAACAATTAGAAATCAGTTCTTAGGAAGAGTTAAGGGACCAAACCAAAAAAAAAAAAAAAAGGCTAATTAGATGCTAATAATCATCTCCACAATTAATGTGCAAAGGACGTTACAATTATTTAGGTTGTGGGTTACAGCTAGGAAAATAAATGCAAGGGGAGAAGGCCCTGTAATTTTTTTCTATGATATTTTGGCTTGTGATTATTTTTTAAATCTTTAAATCAAATTTACTGTATAACTCTGGAATTGTACAGAATGTACTCCATATGCAAAGGAAAAGGAATTGGTGCATGGGGGTGTTAACACAGAGAAACATAATAAATTAAAGCAAAACTCTAACTAGAATAGTTATATATTCCTTAGAGATAACATGGATCTCAAAGCAAAGTTCTCTACTTATTTTATTGTACTGCATTTCTCCAGATCTCTGGGGCTGTTTTTCGCCATTCACCAGAACTGTTGGGAAAATGGTATAAAACCTAATTAAAGCATAGCAACTTTTTGTTCTGTGTCTCCAGACTTTTAGTATTTTTTTTCAAGAATTCAACTGTCCTGAATCCTGAAAAGAGAGACAGGTAAGAAATCTGCCTTTGGTGTAAATGATAGGAAGAACATGATCCCTGTGAAATAGTGGCTTGTGATTTATAAGCAGCTGTTTATCATCTACTTGGCTTCCTGTATCCTTATTCTCTGCTGCAATTTCTGTTCAAATGATCTGTTATTTGTGACATTAAAAAAAAAATCCAGTCAAAGAAACACACACACAAAAAGAAAGCTAATAGGAAACAATACAATAAAAGTTAAAAGCAGTTAACAAGATGAGGTTAGACTGAACTCCATCACACTTCAACCATCCATGAAGATCTCTGACATATTTCTACCCTGGTTAGCCTGCTTGGCTTCCCTTCATTCCATACCTTGTCACTTGATCAATAGAATTGTTTATCTGTTCCTAATCTGAATTCTATCTTTCTAACTCTATCTTTGATAGAGGTTGCTTCTATGTGACTATGGAAATATTTACAAGCCATGTTGTTTTACCTACACAGTCCAAAGCTGTGTGCCCCTGCTCATTGGAGGATTCTAGGATTAGAGAATTACATTTGTTTGCAGGTTCCACAAGGTACTCGATTGATCATGATACAACCTGGAGTGATGAAATCCACGGCTTGAATTGTCTGCAATGCCCAGCTACTCATGGTCTTACAAAACTCACCTGTTGCTTTCTCCAAGGAAAGTTTTGCAGGCATCTGTAGAAAGCCTCTCTCCCAAGGACTTGTGGACCAGTTTCATTTTCCTTGTGAGGTTTAAAGAGAAAGGCGCCTCAAAATGAAGAGGATGCTGCCCTCCAGCTGTTGAAAACCTTCCTCCTAGCTTCCTTCACCTCCTTGTTGCGGAGGCTGTAGATTAAGGGGTTCAGCATGGGGGTGACAACACAAAACATTATAGAAATCAGGGCTTCGCTTTCTAGGGAGTAGCCAGAACTTGGCTTGTTGTAGTTCAGAAACCCATTTCCAATATAAAGAGTTACCACAGCGATGTGTGATGCGCAAGTGGAGAAGGCTTTGTGTCTGC